CACAGCTCCTGTCAAGACAGCCCCGGGCTGCCATCATCTGAAGGCTTGACTGGGGCTGGGGGACCTGCTTCCACCATGGTACCCTCGCATAGCTGTTGGCAGGAGGCCTCAGCTCCTCCCCATGTGGGCCTCTCCGCAGGGTTGCTTGAGTATCCTGGTGACATGGCAGCTGGTCCCCCAGAGGGGGCAGTTCGAGAGAGCCGGAGAGCCTTGTGAGGCCTAATTTTGGAAGTTGCATGCTGTTTACTTCTGCATATTCTATTAATTAAAAGTGAGTCACCACATCTGGCCCACACTCAAGGGGAGGGGAATATGCTCTGCCTCTGAAAGGGAGGAGTATCAAAGGACTCCCGGGGACGCAGAATAAACCTTTTCCTTTTCTGATTCACTGGAGTCTCTATTTCTTGCGCCGCCTCCTGAGCCACCTAACCTAACAACACTCTATCCACTGAGCCAAACCAGTTAGGGCTAGAGGACATTTTATAGCGTCCAGCAGCATCTTTGTTCCCAGGTGGCCACAGCCAACCCGGCTAAATTAGCTACAGTGGCCGAATAACCTTCCCTCCTTCAAAGTGTTACATGCCGTGGGTGTGCGTCATGGCAGTGTGCACCAGGCAGCCTGTGGGGACGAAGCAAGCAGACTGCTGTGAGACAGTCACAAATCTCGATAAGAGTGCTGCTGATTCGGAACTGAGATGAAAGACAGCATCCAGTCCTCAGGCCACACTGAAAAGCCTGACATGGGAAGCTTGTCTGCACATACATGACCGTTTCATGATTGGCTTTGTTCTCACGCTTTCCTTGTTTATGGGCTTCATTTCATTTCATAGGAATTCTGGTCCTTGGCCTCCAGTCAATTTAGCAAATACTGTGGATTTGTAACTCATGATTCACATTCCTGTAATCATACATTTCTTAAAATTAGTCCAAGTAAGAATACCAAAATTGAAAACAGTCTTGAAAACTAGTACTAAGATTGTCTGCCTTAGATTTTCTTACCACCCAAGAGGCTTAGCAACTCAGCAAGTCTTCTCAGCACATTTTTTATTATAAAAGTACTAAAACCACATTACCAAAGGGAAAATGGAAAGTTGTAAGATTACCTAAAATCCAATATGCAAACCCAGCCATTACTAGCATTTTGCATGTTTCCCCGGTGGTGGTGGTTTTAGTTGGATGTAATAGTGTATAACGTACATACAGTTTTCTGTTGTGCCGGTTTTTTTTCATTTAACAGCTTGCTTGTCAAACCGGCCCACAGAACCCCTATAATGTGCTGGGGTCTCAGGGTGGTGGGGGAAATAGAATATGAAGCCACAGAGTGTGTTTCCCTGGACTGTTAATGCCACAGACTTAACAGTCGTTATATAAAAATGTGTATGAATGTATTTCAATTTGTGTGAAGTTTTCCCTTAGGATCAGTCCTGTGGGGTTGACTTTGAGTCTCCCTGGGACTTTGGTCCCCTCTCCTCTACCCACCAAAAAGGCTTGAAAGGAAACAACAGGCAGGGTCTGGCGGGTCTGCGTTTTAGACCCATCGTCGCTAATGACCCCTTCATGTCCCATCTGGTGGCGACACGATGGCTGCCCACTGAGCGCAGTTTGCGATCTGTGTTATTTCCCGTGTTCTCATTTGCGGAGTGCTGCCAGACACAGCGGTGTGAATATAACTTGTTTTGTGTTTGGTATTGTCTCCTTAGGATGGATTTCCAGAAATAGGTCTGATGGATCACGTGATTCCTGAACATTTGTCTTTCTTTTGTTTCTGTGAGATTTTTTAAAAATATATTTTTAATGATTTCAGAGAGGAAGGGAGAGGGAGAGAGAAATTAAAACATCAATGATAAGAGAGATTCATTGATCGGCTGCCTCCTGCATGCCCCAGACCTGGTTCAAGCCTGCAACCCAGGGATGTGCTGTGACCAGGAATTGAACCATGACCTCCTGGTTCATCGCTTGATGCTCAACCACTGAGCCACGCCGGCTGGGCTCTGAGAGATTTTTTGAGCCAGTTTAATAGGTTTGAGCTAAATTAGGGAGGCAGTTGTTTTTATCTTCTATATTTTCCCTGTCACCTGCACTCTGGATTCTTTCTAGACATTTGATATCTTATACCTGTCAAATCCTCTGATGTTTACTGGCAGCTGGCTAATAACT